CGTAGTACTTGGACGCGCACGCTCCGATCGCACCTCTCTCCTCTCTTCCTTTTCCTTCCTTCCCTCCCCCTCCCCCCTGCCCCTCCACTCCCCCTCACCCTGCCTTCCTCACGGCAGCCCTCCCGTCGGCCGGCCGCTATTGCTCGACGCATTCTCCTTCTTGTTGTTCTTCTTCTCCTCCCTCAGCCGCCCTCCGTCACTCCTCGTTTCCCTTCTTTCGCCTCTTTGTACCGAGGGCCGAGACTTCTTCTTCCTCTCGATAGGCCACGTAGTTGCGCGCGCGTTTCGTTTCTTCCCTTTTGCCGTTAATTTTCTTTGCGCGCGGCCGCGTTTTTGCAGCGGCCGCTCCATTACCACTGAATTCTTCTTTCGGCGATATTTCGAGCTGTTTATCGGCCGTAATGGCCGCGACCTCGAGCGCTTCTCTCTTTCGGCGCTACCGAACCCTTTCATCCTTTATCACATCGCGAGCTTTTCCGTCACGCTACTTATCGTCGCTTCGACTCGGGCCTTTGACGGTAATATCGATACCAAATGCGTCGGGTTTCGTATAACCTGATGTTTGATCAAGCTGGCGTATTCGCGCCGATTAAAAGATTCATTCTCTCGAGAACCGTTTGCCAAAGCAATTCTCTCGCTACAGATTTAACGCTACAACGTTCGACTTCGATTGTTATCTGTGTGCCGTATCGGCGCGTACGTCAACCTAATGCCCTCACTTTGAATCGTTCAACCGAGTGTCATTTGCCTTGAACTTAAGTCGGACTACGTAGTAGGGAGAAGCACGAGTCATGCACCGCCCGAGCCATTTTTGCAACGGATCGCGCAAAAAGGTCCTTGGGCCCACCAAGTTTGGAAAGCCGCCCGGATTCAGGAGCAACCTTTTACGGGCACCTAGCCCTGACGGCCAATGGCCGCCTTCAACTTGAAAATCTCGTGCGAACACTTGTTGTCTACGACTTATCAGGGCGACTTAACACCAGCCATCATTTTAATGTCACAACTTTGTTATATTAAATTGGCGCGAAAAGTTTACATCTGTCAAAACATAATTACAACAAAAACGAAGCGAAATAAAAACTATTGGTTTCAGTTAACTATCTTTTTATTCTTTTCAGAAAAATCGAAACTTTTATAAAAAAAAAAAAAAAAAACTATTTAATAGAAAAGTGACAAATCTTTCGCCGATAACATAAAAATGAAGAAGAAATTTAAAAAATTTAAAAGAGATATATTTGATAAATTTTAAAATCAAAGTTTGCTTTTACGGACATGTTAAACGTGCATATTAAAAACTGAGACGAATTTGAAATCTATAAGAGATGTTGAAATAAAATCTAGAATATCTAAAATGAACGCTAATAATAATCGACTACGATATATTAATATAAAAACGTTTTCTGTAGTAGAATTAATCATTGTAGAATTATTTGGCAAATAATAGCTGCTAATTTTCTCGTTGGACCTCGATGTCACGATTTCACGTCGGGAAAACCTATCCGCGATATCTGGAATATTTTTGTCTGTTCTTAAATTCGTGTAAAACAAATTTTTTTTTCAACCCGTTCGCTCCTTGCGTGCGTTTTCGACTCTCACCGCAAGCACAATGTTTTTCTTAGCTGAACGAGCCGCCCCCTCGTAACGGTCGCTGGGTTTCCGAAGCGAAAAAATCAACACGGCCAGTTAATTTCATTCCGAATTATGAGAATTGAGTCAGCGATCCTGATTATATTTCCTTTCGCGGCACGCACTGCCGCATGAGTTCGCGAGTTTTTTGAAAGATGGACACTCTTTATGACGCGGTAGAAAAAGTTTATTGCAATTAAAGATAATGGCGGATAGGTAATAATAGTAATTAATATAGTTCCAAAGTGTGAACTTGAAGATGAGAAAAAAAAAACGCATAATAGCCTTTTAAACTTTGCCGGTAAGAATATCAATTTATCATTTCGTTGACGATGGTGGATTATATATTAAGCGAAAGATTAATTTTATAAATAAACAATCATTTTCACCAACCACGTTATAAATTTAGCGAGAATATTGCGTGACCGACACATAATTAATCTAATTCGAAAGTTTTCAATTAAAACTCATATTTCCTTCTACACTCTGAGACCGAAGAGCCGACTAATTAGTTACGGGCGTTAATAACAACGGGATATTTAGGCACGTACGATTACCCGATGAAACAATGTCATCGTTTCGCTCGATCAGAGCAAAGAACGGACCTCGCGGTACTTATACGCGGTACGTGGAAAAGTGGTGAGACAGGACGAAGGGGAAATCGGTTGCACGTTACACTTTCAGAGCGTTTTTGCGAATGGTCGAGAGGAGCCAATGAAGTTCTCTTTCGTTCGGTCTTTATGGAACCATCTCCGTTTCCACGTTCGAGCGGACAAGAAGTATAAACCGCCGTCTGCTACTAAGCTCCGAGCACGCTAAGAGCAAGACAATTCTTTTTTTTTTCAGTCCGATCCACGATTCGTACTCGTACATATTTATTTAGCATAAGACGATGATCCCGTTAAACCAGGCCAATCAGAGCAGGCAACGTTACGAAGCGGTTTGCAGCGAAGTCTCGTAATTGAAAGAAGCACCGTAAAAATTTGAAAATAATCGTGACATCATTCTTTCGACATGCAAAATCGTAAAACATTGAGGAAAGAAGTGTACGTTAGTTTTAGAAAAACCTATGTTATCAATATACCTAAATAAAACTTTATAATTGATCATATTTGGGTCCCTGTAACAGAAGTTCAGAAGTAACTTCTATTTCATTCGGAAGTGAGAAAATTTAACATATACGATGAAATACTTTCACGCGCGTTTTGCTTGTCCTCCTCACATTGTAAATCATCACGAAATATTTTTAATTGTGCAATTTATATTTTCAGGTTTTTTTTTTCACACGGGATATTCAGGAAATTTTTTAATGTTAGAAATAGTAATATATAACCTAGCGCGAGATACTGGGAAAATAAATTAACTCTACTTGGCTCCACCGCGGGGATACGTAAATCCACGTCATCGGCATGCAAAGTATAAGAATTGACTGCTTTCTTGCCCTGCATTTCCCAACAGCGCGAAAAAGAACCAAAGTGAAAGGGCGAAAGCCAAATTACCATGGCATTTTTAAAGAGAGACAGAGAGAGAGAGAGAGAGAGAGAGAGAGAGAGAGAGAGA